TTACTGGTATTAAGATCGTCAGCTACCATTCGAGAAGACAGTGAATATTTTTTTCTACTGGCAGCTGTCGAACTTTTCCGATGTTTACATCATTTCGTAACTGAGACCGGCGAACATTTTTCACTTCATCTTTAGTTTTCGAATCCGTCGCGAAGTCGTCCGTACTTACGAGAAACTATCATGGTAAGTCTTGGATCTCCAGGCTTTATGCAATATTTAAAATTGTTCCGTTGTCATTCCGCATTACAGTAAGACTGTAGAATCATTAGGTTATTTTGATGCTGGAGACGTAAAGGATGAGCTGCTGATGCTGGGACTCGAACTTGGACCTTTCGAGTGCGCGCCGAGTGTGCTGCCGTTGCACCATGAAGGCATGGAGGGGGGAGGGAGAAAAAACTTTGTATACTCTGGCGTGGTCTGTTATGACCATAAGGCCAACTTGTTTGGTTCGGTGGGTCGGGCTGCACCCGCTTTTGGTACCTTGTATGCACACAACACTATGATAGATTTTAATAAAATGTGTACTATTTTTTTAAATATCCATGTAAATAATAAAAAAAATCCAAGGAACTAAGTAAACAGACCAGAAGAAACAATCATAAATACTTATCAATATTTTAGCGAATTTACAATAAATCCATTTACAATTCCACAGAAAAAAAAAACATATATTACAGAATCGGGAGATATAGAAATCCACTAAACCAAGGGAGGTGGGAACCGAAGCAAAAATAAATCTTTTACAAGAAGCAAACGCAAATAATGAAGGAAAATATCTGCCTCAAGAAGAGGTGAATAAAAATTTCTTTACCTTTCGAATAAAGTCAGCTCTAGTCTCTGTAGTCTGAGAACGTATATGAATCGATCTGACAACATAATGAATTCGAAACCAAAGGAAATAATGTAGCGTAGCATCACCCCCCCCCCCCCCCCCGAAAAAAAAAACATTCGAAATGGCTTGATGAGGAAAAAGGAAAACGTGTTTGATATTTATTGTAAAAGTTTCCTGTCGTTTTAAGCCACTAAGTCTAATAATGCTTCTTCTTGATTTATATTTATTCATAATGGGTCAGGGTAACTCAAAAGAGTCCATTAATTGTTTAAAATATCAGCAAATGGAGTACTACAGATAAATACACTAAGCTTTACTCTAAATAATTCTTTTGATGATCAGCTTTTAGCATAAAAGAAGACTAATCAACATCATTTTATACATATAAAAATTTATAAATGATGATAAAATATTTTATAAATTTTCTTTCAGTTTATATATGCTTCATTTTTTTTCAATTTGTCTTTTATTGAAGCGATTAATCCTCATAAGTAAGGATGAAAACAGTTAAGAGAAACGAATTCTTCATTTAGAATTACTGTGGAAAACGGAACTTAGAAAACTTCACTTAGAATTGCTGAGGAGTACTTACAAAATATATGGAGAAGGAGAAATCATTCAAAATTTAATCTGTTAACTAGTACGATTACCTAGTTCATAACCTAAGAATTCTTCCGCCATTTTAGCCAATCCACTGATGGCGAAATTTAAATTTTGAGATACAGTTCTAAAAACAGATTCTTAATAGAGATTCTATTTCCAATGCAGTTCAGGCGGTAAACTTGGCAACTGTTAGATAATTGTCAATAGGACGGTTAATCTTTCTCAGCAGCACGCGGTGTACAACTGTCAGACAATTGTCGGTAGAGAGGGAAGTGCTGAAAGGCGTCAGTCTAGAACTCGTTTCAGTTATTGTGGAGAACAGAACGCGAAGCAGATTGAACAAGACAGAAAAGGAAGAAGTGGGCCGGACATCACAGCATCAGTAGTTTTATTGTAGAGATATTTGGTATTTTTTGAAAGCAAGAGAGATGAAAAATGAGTACCGTCTTCGCCGGGACTTGAACCACGAGCCTCGACTACGCGCTGAGCGTGCTGACCACTACACTACGAAGGCATGCTAAGGAAGTCGGGAGAAATACCTAGTATTATAGGCATAGTCCCGCCTCATTTATTGCACAGCTTAGTTCCAATTTTAATGGAGCACATTTCAAGAGACGAAACCTAGGTCTCGCACCTCTCTTCTCCTACCATCCAACAAATCGAAAGAGCTTTCGACTAGCGAGTATTTTAAGTGCTCCCATGTCATACAGATAGTTTACACTCACAAACATCAAACACATGTCCTGGATACGAATCCGGGCCTAACGACACGGCAACAAGCTTCTCTAACCATTATATGGATCAGGGCAGCAAGATATTCGAAATGTTTCCTCACTTTTGAACAGTACATTAACAGTAGCAGTGAGATGGAGGGCCACGTTACCATCAGTTGATTAATTAAGGGTCAGTTGCGTCACGGAGCAGATGATTACGCGGCAGGATTACCTCAGTACAATAGCTTTCACCGGTTACAGTATTGGCCTCTACTGCCTAAAGTTATAGACTTCCATCCACGATAATACCAGCAGCGCATGCATCGACCACCTTGTCGACTGCTTGCATAGTGATATAGTGTGTCAAGCTCTTCCCAGATAGCTGATATTTATAATCATTGCTGAGGTTAAAACTATTCTCATTAGTAAACGGAATCTTACTCGAGTTGTTCTTCAGTCTTTGTATTCTTTCTCATTCCATATAGTAAAGCTGATGAGTTAAAGGGAAACTAACAAATAGTCTATCCATACGGAGCCGCTTTGTAGAGTTATTAAGCAAGAGATGTGAGAAATGTGCAAAGTCTTCGCACTGATTTAAACACCAAACCTTTCGACTAATAGCCGGACATGGTTTCCAGTTACACCAGTCTTCCACGTCGTCTGTACTGTGATTAGTCTAAAGCTGCCTGAAGACTTGTTCCTTCCCAATGAAGTCAAAGGAACCCGCTAGCGTATTAACCGAGGACCACAGAATGGTTTTCTGCTTAAAAGTAGAGGAGGTAGACTAGGGGTTCCCGACCTTATGCACGCGGGCACCATGGTGCCCGTCGATCGTTTAACGTGTGCCCGTCACAATAAAAATGTTTTAATTTTCAATAAAATTCCATGTGAAAGTTTTCTCATTTTTAATGTGTAGCGACATTAGGTATTTTTTGGAAGCAGGAAAGATGAAAAATTAACAAAGCCTTCGACCGGAATCGAACCGCGGACCTCGGGAATACCGGCCTAGTATGCAGACCACCACACCACAAAGGCACGCCAAGAAGGTGGGAGAAATACCTTATATACTCCCTCTTTTAAAGGGCGACTGGGGATTTTAGATGACCCAATCGCCAAATCCTGGGTGGGGAGAAATCATCATCCACCACCCTTTTAGTTCGGGGGCCACTGTAGAGACATTAAGTATTTTTTGGAAGCAGGAAAGATGAAAAATTGACGTAGCCTTCGCCGGGAGTCGAACCACGGACCTCTGGAATACCGGCGCAGTGTGCAGACCACCACACCACGAAGGCACGCCAAGAATGTGGGAGAAATACTTTATAAATGAAGTAGAAATTGCGTCCAACACAGATACAAGCACAAAGCGAAATGCGATCAAATTTTTTTTCTATGTACACTGCGAAAAAAAAAAAAATCTATATCTGCCGTTTTGCTGGGGCGATTGACGAAATTCAACTTGCGATTTTCACGTCTCGAAAGCGCCACTTAGGATATGTATTAGATTTATATACAGCTTTGTTCTGATATAGGTATTTTGACACAAAATCAGACGTTTTCTGAAATGACATGTCAATTTTTTCACATATTTCTATTCTACAACTCAAATTATGCCAAACAAGTTTTGTAAACATCGCAAGAGTAGCTTTAAAAAATTCGCTCCTCGATATTCATTGAATTTGATATATATTTATTAATATTTTTTTTAAACTTACTTAATTCTTCCCCTCATATTTCGAAATTCACATTCATTCCAAATAAAATTCGCCCATTTTCTTATGATTTACTTTTTAAATTTGTATTTTTAAATAATTTTTCGAAAAAAGTTTGAATTATAACCTGTAAAATGTTTTCCATCATCTTAAAGTAAATGTATTTCTAAGCATACCTGCAAAAAATTAGAGTTTTTTTATTCAAAATTTCCTAAGATATACGTGAATTTATATTTTGGCGTGTTTTGAAATTTGGCGCGTGTATTATAAGCCATAACAGCGAAAATGTGGTTTACGCACTTTGTTCAAATTATTTGAAAGTATGAACGATGACTTTTTCCCCGCTCGTGCACAAAGAAAAAAAGGGAAATAGGTTGCTATAAAATTAAGAAATTCGTCAAGAGATTCTTGGCGCTGACTGAAAAACATTCGCCAAGCTAAATTTTTAAATTTCTCCATAAATCTCTCACCAAAATTTAGAAAATTTAATATCTAGGCATAATTTCAGTGGTAGAATCAAAACATAGAAAAAAATGTTTGGCATGTTATTTCAGAAAAAGTCCGATTTAATATCAAAATACTTATGTTAGAACAATGCTATATGTAAATTTAATACACATCCTAATTCGCGCTTTCGATACATGGAGAACGTTAAGTTGAATTTCGTCAGACGGCCCATTAAACCAAAAGGTTTTGCTGTGCCATTTTTTTTTTTTTTTTTTTTTTTTTTCCGAAGTGTACATATATTATTAACTCTATTCGACTATAACGTCACTTTGAAAAGGAAATAGTGCCCGCCGTCCAACAAATATTTTAGAATGTGCTGTTAGAAACAAAAAGGTTTGTTGGGAATCCCTGTGGTAGACGATACGGGTTGAGATCCAGTGGTCGTAGAATATGCGTTCTGGAATTAAAAACTTACGTTTTAATGCATTTTTTATTTATGGTTTAGTCATTCTGCCAAGTATATCCGTCAGATACATGAAGATAAAAATAATTAAGGGAATCAGCATTTGTTTGCATATTAAGAAACACACAGAAATAATTTTCCTTTGTGTATTAATACGTTTACAAAGATAAAACGTATATTTAAGGTCTGGAATAGAACATTTATTAAAATTCTTTTAGATAAAATAAACATACCAAAACATATAGCTCCTGCGTGATCGGTCCCCTGGATGAAAGGGTCTCCGTCAAATTGTCTAACATCGTAAACTCTACAGAAGTGCCAGCGATGTCATAGTAATTGCCATGTTTGCTGATGATCTGTTCTCCGTTGAAAATGATTCCTCTATTACGATCCTGTAAAGCTGAAACATAAAATTACTATTCCATCATTTTCCATAAAATTCTCAAAATATGAATGCATTCAAGATTTATCCTTCCGAGGATCGTCAGATGAAAAGCAAGTACAGTTGAAATTATTTTCGCTCGAAAATATTTTGCAATAATCTTTTTTACATAATCTGTTTTCGGAAGAATTATATCCATATTAAATTATACAAATTCAGCATTAGCAGTATAACTGGCTATAATGCAATTAACTGTATGGAAATTTAAGAGAATTCTGGTAAAAGCACTTGGTGCGTTTAAAAGAAAATACGACGAAAGAAATGTGAATAAAATTCACACTGGTTAAGCATTTAATAGAGCTGGTCGTTCTAGAATTCTAAACTGTAGTCTCAAATGGAAAAAATTAAATAATTTTACAAATTAATACATAATTAACAAAATTCCACATCATCCATGTTTCGAATCTATTTGAAATTAGAATCGTAATTATTACACATGCGCATGATATAAAGAACAAGGCATTTATTAGTACCTATCAACTGAAATATACAGCAAACATTTGAAGAAGACAGAAATATTGGTAATCGAGCTACAGATGATGAATCTTTCTTTTCGGAAAATAACTATGTTGTTATATTGAACTACCAATCTCGAAACTAATACAGCCTGGTCCATAATTTGTTATGTTTTCATATTATTTTTTGTAGGATATTCATATTTATTACTTCCTTCTACAAAGTAAAGGAAGTATTGTAACTACCAAAAATTTCGGGCATCGTATTTCAACGAAAATATACATTTTGATCGCTCTCGATGATATTTGAACGACGTTTTTGCGTTGCATCTGTACGTACAGACAGAATAAAGGACTCTTTCCCCCCAGAAACGGATTGTGAAATGGATTCAAAAGACACTTTTTCGTGACGTCTGTACGTTAGTGTGTATGTATCTCTCATAACACAAAAAAGAGTAGCCTCAGAACATTAAAATTCTGCATATGGGAATGCTATAACATGTAGTTGTGCAAATCCCTTTTTGGTTTCAATCGGCCGCACAAAAGGTGTATATATATATATACACACACCTACTCTGATACTCGGCTCGGTGAACTCAGTTTTTTATTCTTATGTGTTGGAAAATTGTGCATTTTTTGCTTTAAAAGTGATTGAATTATATCGTTCCGGTTAAAGTCTTTATGCCTTTAGGTAATCTGCGTACAATAGTATACAATTACCAACAGTTTAAAAGTTGTTTAAGTTTCACTAAGCTTAACACCGCCATTTGTTTACATTTGAAGCTTAGTAACACACAGTTTCTGCGCCAACTTCAGTGTCTTTTTGCCGAGTGAGGCCAAAAGTTTTGTAAAATTCTTTTAACGTTTTTTAACTTTATTTAGTGTTTTATTTTTTTATGTATTTTACAATTTTGAATGGAGATGTTTTGAGTTTTTATGTATTTTTTCCTTGCGCGCGAAATGAGAACTGAATTGATTGAATGAGAAATATATCTCTAATGAAATTCGTGGAAATAGGTTTAAGCGAAATGCAGCAAAAAATGTGCATAATTTAATAGATCGTACAAGGAAGTCATGTGGTGTAATAGATTTTTTTTCCATCGCAGGATGAATACCATTGTAAAATTTCTTATAAATTAAAAGCTTCTTTAAAATAAAGTCATAATTTTGTCATCGATTTTTTTCCAGTTTTTTTTTCCCTAAATATAAATTGCCCATACCTACCGTTTTGGCTCTAAAGTTTTAATATAAATAGAGTGTTGTTACAACTTAAATATTAAAATTCTGGATTAAAATCTGAACAATATACAGATTTCATACTCCATAAGTTCAAATATCCTCAGCAGAGAATAAACAATAATTTATTTTGTTAACGGGTTTGTCGAAAATGAATGCTTTCAAAATTTTCTCAAGTAATACAGGAATGCACGTTAGAAGATAGCTTTCAAAATGAGTTTATAAAAAAAAATTTTAAATTAATATATAAAGGAAAAACAAATTATTTTCTCCATTTCCCATCTAATTTTCTGATTTTAATTTCTTTTTCATATATTCATAGCCACTTCGCATAAAATTTTAAAACAAAAACAAAAAATTATAAAACTGAAAATGCTACGCGAGTTTCAATAAATATTTAATGAGGAAAAACTGGGAAAATTACCTGTTAAGAGAAGACGATGAACATTTAAGAACATTTTGAAGAATATTATCTCGAGAGTTGAGCGTAATTACATCTTTATTAAATTTTCTCCAGTGCACTTATTTCACAAGCCATTTTAATCTTTTAATCCAGTCTTTAAATTGGAAGTGTCATATTAGAAGCGTGAAAATAAATAGAGAGGAAAATACAAAAACTTAGCAGAACTTACATAAATTAATTATATTCTTTCAAAGAGGAGGAAAAGATAATTGATTATAAAATGAAATTTCAAAAGAAATGTCTCAAATACCAAAATAAAGTTTTATCTATGTTTTGACAAAACTAATGCCTTTTTTTATATTAATCGTTTAGTTTCATTGCATCAACATTACTGCAAATTTAATATATAATCTCCAGTTTCCTGTACATTAAAACAGCACTTCTAATCACTAGTTCACAAGAACACATACTTTTGACTTCGTAAGTGCTTGAATGAACAGCTAAAACGTCTCAAATTAATAATAATAGTAATTGCTGCACTAAAATATACTGTTATTTTAAAGCAGAATTTTTTATATAACTGCTTTTAAACCTCTGCTAATATTATTCCTTTTTACTTATAAGTTTGTTGTCTGTCTTTTGATAAATTTTTGTTTCCGCAACTAATATTCAGATAAGAATTGTACTACAGTGAAATGTAAGTTAAAAACAAAACTAAAATAAACTCTGAAAGTTTTCAGACTTTATATTATGAAAAAAGGGACGATTTTTAGCGTTTTGTGTGTTACCTTTATTTAATAAATATCATGCTCTTCGCATTTAAGCCACATAAAATTCAATTCAGGAGCAATCTGACAAAATATTTAAAAGCAGCATATATTTAGAATAGCATATATGGAGATAATTTTTTTTTCCCTCTCCTCGTACAGTGTTGCCATTACTCGCCTTTAAATCACCGAGTTTGTAAACCAAATTTCGTTATTGTTTTACAAAATATGAAATAGATCATAAAACAAATTAGGAATTTGGGCGTCCTGATGACCATGTTCGGGTGGAGGATGACGTTATTCAAAATTGGATGGCTCTAGGTACCGTCGTTTTTTTACAATGCTAGAAACATACCTATATTCACGCAGATTCTTCATTATTTAATTTCTTGTAATATAATACAGGGCGGTAATATTTGGTGGCTACAATTTGAAAAGTAAAATGGACATTTATAGTGAAACAAAGCAAAATATCGTTTCGAAACTAATAGCCCATATGGGTTATCGTCCCTTTGGGTTAAAAAGGTACATTTTGCGCTAAGTGGAAATATTCGAAGCCTTCTTAAACATAAACTGTCATATTTCGTTCATTTGCACTTTTTAGCTGAGGCTGATGGTTCGGTAAAACCATCGAAACTAATCCTGTGAAAATTTGAAAATATAACGCCGATTTTTGTTGTTTGACTTCTAAATTAATAAACTATCATTTCAGTGAAAGTAATTTTGCATATTCATACTACAATACTCTTATGTTAAACAATATACATATCCATGAGATACTCGCATTTCCTTGCGACAAGCCAGCTGAATACTCAGAGAAATATATTCAGTAATTTCAGTTAGGAATAAGGCTTTAACTAATAGCGCGGTGGCTCGGTGACTAACCAATTAACTATGCGAACGAAACCGGATTCTATGCAATTGTAAATAGTGTGGTTACTAATATCAAGGCTTCGTATTTCTCCTTCAGTCTCTCTTAAACTGGAACCAAAGTATGGCTCCAAAAGCGACAGCACTCCTATGACAGACATTCTGAATTAAGCATTTGTATCTGGTACTGTTAACCTGGTATAATCTGAAAAGCAGTGTTTATCATTTGTCTAAAAAGAAACGAAAATTATGCGCAGAAACGGATCCGGAATAAGCGAACGAATGCGGAACGAAACGGATCCGAAACATTATATGCAGATCGATCCGTAAAGACTTGTTTAACTATATGAATTATTAGATATTCCTGCATTTGGCATGAAAAGGAATGCAAGAACAAAAAGCGCAAACACGGTATTCAAGCCGTAGAGGAAAACTTTATGTTCAAATAATCAAATGTCTCCAGCTTCGTAACATAAAACATCAAGGTAATAACTACATTGGATGGCTGTTAGCATATAGCCATATCTTGACAGGTGACATTATGAAATGTCCATAACCATTTCCGCCGCCATTTGATGGAGATTTTATCTCTCGGCTTTCTTGTCTGAGACTCTCTCTGATCCGAAATTATCGACCTAGTATTGCCACTGGTATGAAGAATGAGGATACGGTTTCGGCGATGACATTACACAAGCTAGTCACGGCTCTTTGCATGATGTCCTATAAAGAATTTTATATTTATGAAATCTTCCTTTCTATGGAGCACAAATAGCATTCCATATAACGTTCAGTACGCGAAGTAGTTTCAGAATATTGAGTGTTATTGCATAAAAAGCTATTTATTTTTATTCACATGCCACCTTGCATATATAGCCAAGGCCATAAGCAGCAAGCAGCACAGTTAAGAAGTGCTTTGGAATGTCAAGAGTTGGTTTTATGCACCTGGCAAGGAAGCTTTCCAGAAAAAAATGCACGAATATTTCTATAAAGGTCTTGAATGTTCTGTTCGGAAACATTTCTGCTTTAGAGTTACACAATAGCCAGATTTATCGTGTTCGATTACGTTTTGGAGAAGTATAGACATTTACCGCGTGGCCCGTAAAGGCAAACTTATGGATACTAAAACGAAATGGGCAAATAAATAACGCTTAACCTGTCTAGTTTTCATTTTCTTTCCTTCATTCATATATTCATATACGTTTTCATATATTTTTGCCTTATTTCGTGATTTCAAGTTCAACGACACATTTATATGACAATGAAAATGGTGCTTTCGGAATGCTACTCGAGGTTTTGCCCAATGAAACGATTATACCATTGAAATTTTACAATAACAATTTGATCATATTTTAAGCTGTTACATACACATTCGATACCTCTTTAATATGAACGGTATCTAATTTCTGTAAATGTGACAGTAAAATACCATGTTGGTAAGTAAATACAAGGATTGGTCAAAAAGCAGTGGCAAGCTATCAGCAATTCTGAAAAGACTTTTAACACAAACATTTACAATCCCTCAATGCAATCACTTTTAAACCACCTTCTGTCAAATTGCTTGAAGGTAACCTACACCATCAGTAAAATGGCTGATGGCGTACGTGGCTGAATCAAGATCAGCAAAATGGCTGATGTTGAAAAATCCACACTTTTGTTGACGCTCCGCAGGCAAATGCCCTAAAGCACAGATAACACGCTTTCCACTCTTGCAAACGGATCTTTTGCAATGGTTCATTCATTTTGATGAAAAGGTAATAGATGGATTCATATCTTACCAGTAATATGGTGGGTGTCCTAGAAACTCCCATTGCCATCGTCGCAGGAAATCAGTGACAGGGATCGCATTATGACATTGCAGATTATCATAGAGGAAGATCTGAATTACCGACAGCTACTATAGCTTTTACCCAGGTTCGGAACACGGATGATGTCTCAAATGATGAATCTGATCATCCTACATAACAATACATCATAATGCAAGCGCTGTCATTTATCTTCTGCGACGGTGGCGATGAGAGGAACCGGTATGTCTGTCATAGTTATCCTATATAAATTTATATGACTTATTTGAAAATTTAAAGAGGGACTTATCAAGATATTACAGTAAAGAGGACGTTATCTGTACTTAGAAGTAACTATAAAGCCTCCACAGAAGTCAGCGTGTTGATAGTGTATTATACTTTGCAGAATCTGGCGGAGAGTCCCGGTGGCGCAAAGGCTAGCACGTCGCGTAGCAGTAGCACAGGTCTGGGGATGGATTCCTGGTGTGGGGAAGGTTGACTCATCCTTTCATCCCTTGAGAAGGTCGATGAAAGGAGTACCAAGTTCGCTTGGGGACTAATACCGGTGACCACTTGTTCAGAGCATATGGCCACGCACTCCGGGCCCACAGTCAGGAAAGCAGATATCAAGGTACTGCAGGCCATAGCTCACTACGGCTGTTGGGTCACCGAGTTTATTTTAGTAATCTGGCAGAAGTTGGCAAACACAACGAACGATTATATTGGGAAGTGTAGGTGTTTGTGTACTGCTATACTTTGCATCCAATCCTTGCAAACAAACATTACATGAAATATGATGAAATTGAAAAGTCAGGTCACATAACCAGGATTATAATTTTCTATAGAGATTAAAATACTCTACTTAAACCTTTGTGATGAAACTGTTTTGCTAATTCAGATAGAAATTTAAAAAATTATTCATATAATTTTCAAGGTGAAAGCCATATTTTTTTAGCATAATATCTTTGATCATCATATCAGAAGGCACAGAAATATAATACTACTTGTGTTTTACCTACATAAAAACATAGATTTTTTAAGGAAGGATTGTTAATGTATTAAATTCCATAATACGAAAATATTAGACACCTTTAAAAATTAATAGTCTCCCTAGTTTCTATGTTGCTACTTATTTCTATTATTATTGCGGCGAGTGTGTGTGTGTGTGATTATGGCAAAGCCTCGAGGGCTATCTGCCTAAGGGGAGGGATGCCTTCGTGGAGGACTTTCTAAGGGAAACTGGCTCGATACACGTTACACATGGGAAAAACCACGAAAATGCCCATGCAGCCAGCCCGTTCGCGGGATTCGAACCTCGGACCGAACTACCAATGTTCAGCGACTTTACCGCTCGGCCGCTGGTGGGCCCTATTATTGCGGCGAATAAGTATTATATTAGAATCACAGAAAGTGTACATTTTCATTAGAATTGAATGCAAAGTTATTTCTCACCTAAATAATTCTTTCCAATCGGCTGTCTTATGATAAGATTTCGAGCTCCCGTTGGAATTACCACAACCTCGTGATAAGCATTTCGATGACCTAAAAGTTAAAAGTGCATTAATGAATGATTAGTAAATACCAATTTCAAATTAAATTCTTGCTACATATACATATATAGAGTGCATCTACATAATTTTATGACAAATACTTTAAGACAGTCCAGAAAAACCAGCAAACGATAATTCACATTAATTACTATGACATCTCAACCTCTTTTTCCTAAAATACTATCTGTTTACGGACAGAATTTTCTATCTGGTTAAGCGTTTGCTTTGATCTAATGAACATTTGATGCCATGGATTCGATAGTTGAGAAGAGAAGAACAAGGTAGTTTTCTAAGATAGTTTCTCCCTCCTTTCTGTATGCCTTCGTGGTGTAATGGTGGCACACTCGGCGCGTATTCGAGAGGTCCAGGCTCGAGAGTCCCGGCGAGGGTCTTGCTCATCTTTCACGTCTCCAACATCAAAATAGCCTAATAATTCTACATTGGCGCCTGAACTATAATGCGGTGCACGATGATTCTTCACCACCAGGATTTGTTTATTGGATACCCTAATCCTCAGTCGCTTTTTAAAACTGGGAGCATACAAGGTACCAAAAGCGGGTGCAGCCCGATCCACCTAACCAAACAAGTTGGCCTTATAGTCATAACAGACCACGCCAGAGTATATAAAGTATTTTCTTCCTCTTTTCTGCATGCCTTCGTGGTGTAACGGTAGCACACTCGGCGCGTATTCGAGAGGTCCAGGTTCGAGTCCCGGAGAGGGAACTGCTCATCTTTTACGTCTCCAGTATCAAAATAACCTAATGACTCTACAGTCTTACTGTAATGCGGAATGACAACGGAACCATTTTAAATATTGCATAAAGCATGGAGATCCAAGAATTACCATGATAGTTTCTCCTAAGTACGGACGCTTTCGTGACGGATTGGAAAACTAAAGATGAAGTGAAGAATGATGGCCGGTCTCAGTCTCGAAATGATGAAAACATCGGAAAAGTTCAACAGCTGCCAGTAAAAAACATTCACTGTCTTTTCGAATGGTAGCTGACGATCTTAATACCAGTAAAGAAAGAAATAACAAACACAGAAAATTTTGTTCTCATTTTGCTCCTCATGCAATAACTGCAGTACAGAAAGAAAATCGGATTATGATTCGATTCGAATTTTCGAATGGCAATGTGCCATCACACATTTCGTTTCGATTCAATCTCGATTCTTTTCAAACAAATTGGAACTAGATATGAAATTTGGTGCTTTTTTTATGAACCTCTGCTTGGTTTAGAGAAAGCTCACATTTTAGATAGAGTCGTAATGACCGATCCAGCTCACTATGACTAAAACCTCCATGACTCTATCTAACTTAAGTCTTTTAACAAAATATGTTTGTTTTTTTACATATTTTTTAAATATGAACAAAAAAATCTAAATAATACCCAGAAATGTGAAGTTTTGGGAATAGAATGTAAACATTAAAAATGATTAAACGAAAGAATTTACATAAAATGTACGCTTTTTACATATTTTTAAATAGAAATCGAAATCTTAAGTTTTTTTGGAATTTAATATAAGTATTAAAAATGAATAATTTGCATGAAAATGTAATGATGTAAAAATCTAAAGTCTTTGGAATGAAAGAATTTACACAAGAATTCAGGATGGTCCCTAAGGATAAAAGATGTAGAGTCATGGCTTTTTTGATACTAGAGACGAGAAAAACGAGCAATGTCCTCGCCGGGACTCGAACTTACAACTGTCGAATACTTGCCGAGTGTGCTACCGTTACACCACGAAGGCATGCTGAAAGGAGGGAGAAAATACCTTATATAATACCCCTTTTAAAGGGCGACTGGGGATTAGGGGACCCAATCGCTAATTCCTGGTGGTGAAGCATCAACATCCACCACCTTTTAGTTCGGGCGCCACTGCAGCGTCATTAGGCTGTTTTGAAGCAGGAGACGTGAAAAATAAGCAATGCGCCGGGACTCTAACCTGGACCTCTCGAATACCCGCCGAGTGTGCTACTGTTACACCACAAAGGTATGCAGAAAGGAGGGAGAATATACCTAAGAATTTTACAAATCATGCAAATATTCTACCTTTAACATACTTTTATATTTGAATATATAATTTCCTTTATTGATTTTCTTAATTGCATTATCAGAGCTTGCTTTTTTTTTTTTTTTTAAGAAAATATACTTTTCTTAATCATCTACTTTTATTTCTACAATACATGTATCTTCATATTTAGTTTTAATTTTGCTCAAAAATATCAACGGATATTTACCAGGACTTTTAATTTCTGAATTTCTTCGTACGATCTAACGCTGATTGATGAAAGGTGAAATTATGTTTACCAATAATATAAATTCTTTTGAATATCATATTAAAATTCCTAACCCTTCCAATTTAATATCTTCATTTTCTTCTTTTTCAATGAATTCAGTCATTGTTTGAAAATTTTCTGATAATTCTTTTTCAGACGCTTCAGACAGCGAAGAAGATTTATATTTTTCATACCAATCATTACAAAAATAGATCAAAGTGTAAATATTTCCTCAATTCTGTTTACTTGTATCAAATTTTAAAAAAACACTATAAAAAATTTTATAGTGTTTGATGTGAAAATTTAGGTGGTGGATGATGATGCTTCACCACCAGGCTTTGGCAATTGGAGTTGTCAAATCATTTTTTAACTTTTACACAACCACAACTGTGTTTTCAGCGATTAGGGAAAAGGAAAAGAAAAAAAGAAACGGCTTATTTTAAAGTGTAATTTTTAAAATTAGAATTATATACAATAAACAAAACTGAAATTTTAACTCCAGCTAAATATTAGTGCATTAGCTCCTTGATTGTTGTTACATTAATTCGCTTTTAGGATATTGCTTTGTCAAATGAGAAATTACTTTTACCCCATTCATACACAGAATTCACATTAATTCATACACAGAATTCACATTAATTCATACACAGAATTCACATTAATTCATACACAGAATTCACATTAATTCATACACAGAATTCACATTAATTCATACACAGAATTCACATTAATTCATACACAGAATTCACATTAATTCATACACAGAATTCACATTAATTCATACACAGAATTCACATTAAAATAATAAATAATTAGTAACAGAATCACATGCTTCGAAGTCATTTGCGTCTGAGTAATTGTTCTTGAAGTTCCTTTCATTTGTTAAATGGAAAAAAAAAAAAAAAACTCGATACTTAAAAAGCACTTATGGTTCGATAAATAAAAACCATGAATATTTTTAAAGTAATAGGGAAATGATTTATTTTATTTTAAAGAAAAATTATTAAATCTAGAATGTCAAGTAAATGTAAACAGGCAAACTCTTTTCTATTTTAGGGATTAAAAGGAGTGAAAAAAAGAGAGATAATTACAGTTGCGGTTACAGCTTGAAACGAAATATAATAACCATTTTCCTAAGAAAAATAAACGACTTGCATCGTTAATTTCCTAACAAAAAGATTAAAGATTACAGATAAAATTTTAAAAAGTGAACCACCCCAATGAGGCATTGTTCTCTAAAAGAAAAAGAGTTATCATTTGTCAAGGCGACCAACATTAATGTAATATACAAATAAAGAGATGTACTTTGTAACTGATGCATATATTCAAAATTTTATTCACTACATAAATCAGAAAACATGCTTTCTTAAAAGGAATACAATGTATAATTTTGCTAGTTCTTTTTCAAAGGGCAATAAATCAACCATCATTGATATAGGGCCCCAGTGGTGGCGAACCTTTTTGGGGTTTTTGGGCGAATCTTTTTTTTTTGGGGGGGGCGGCGCCCCAAACCTCTTTGTTTAAATCCCCATCGGAGAGCGGTTTACTATGTTTTGAGAGGCACAGTGAAATTTGAAAGCTGGCCATTGTTATATGGTTAGCTTTAGAAAGAAAATTGCAAAAATCAATTTTCTGCTAATTATAAATCCTCAGTTTCCCTTCAATAAACACCTTCTGTTCAGCTTCAGCAAGTTCGGCAACAATCTTGTGGTTGGTGTTAAAGTACCGTCTGACACTACATGTGCTACACACAACACTTCCCCGCACAGACTGCATAATGCTTTCCTACTGTGTTCAATAACAATGTGTGTGGCTGCCCAGGTCTCTTAAAATGATCTTTCACTATCAATGTTGAATTTTGCCTTTTTTGCTGGAGTCATTTGTGAAGGTTCAAGATCTGGAATATAGAAAAGCACAAAATTAAAAAATGATTTGGTTTATTAGATTACGGCAAAGCACTCGAGGGCTATCTGCCTTAAGGGAGGGATGCCTTCGTGGAGGACTTTTTAAGGAAAACTGGCTCGTATACACGTTACACATGGGGAAAATCACGAAAACACCCATGCAGCCAGCCCGTTCGCGGGATTCGAACCTCGGACCGAACTACCAGTGTTCAGCGACGTTACCGCTCGGCCACTGGTGGGCAATTTAAAAATATAAGCATTAAAAATATAAATTGATCATATACTAAAAAGAGGTAACTTTATTAGCCAATAGTAAGGAAATGGATTTTCACGAATCTACAGTCTATGGCTGCAGATTCAAATATGAACAGAGGACAGCAATAACCGTTAACCCGAGAATCTCTCTGCTAAACTTCTAACTTTAAATTTCATATGCTACTTTTCGGCTTTATTGGGCTTATTTTGGCTGAGCGCATGTGAATACGCTTGGTTTTTCTACTAAGCTTTCGTGTTTTGCTATATTATCAAATTGCATGTTTTACATTATATTTGTATATTTTGTTTAAGATATTAAATTAGAATTATTCATAAGTTACCTCAAAATGCTTAGATCTGAAAACTGGAGTCTATTTAGCAAAGGAAGTATTTAAACTCACCAGCAGTCTGCAATAAATTTGAATTCGTTTAGAAAACATTAGCTGCTTCAACTTTGGCGTATTCTTTGCCATGTAACAAGTAATATGATTGGCCCAAACAATTGAAACGTCATAAATTGAGTCAATAAATACAGATGGAGGTCAAAATAATACGAACACCTGTGAAAATAAGGGAAAATCTTTATTAATAGGGGGTTGGACCCCCCTTTGACTGTAGTACAGATTGAATGCGACGTGGGATAGATGCATAAAGGTCATGGACAATATTTAAAGGAATATTAAGCCATTCCTCCTGCAGAGCGGTCTCTAATTCCGAAAGTCCGGATGGACGTGGAACTCGGGAACGAAGTTTGGACTCCAAAATATGCCCATAAATGTTCAATAATATTTAAATCCGGAGACTGAGAGGGCCAAGTGAGATGTTCAATTGCATCGTCATGCTCTTCGAACTATTCTTCAATACACCTAGCAGTGTAGATAGGGGCGTTGTCGTCTTGAAAAAGCTGTAGCTCCCCAGTGAATACAGTCTGGACAAAAGGATGGACATGCTCCCCTAGAATGCATAGATAGTGATTGGATGAGATCTTCCCATGCAGAATAACAAGTGGCCCAAGACCGCGCCAAGATATCGCACCCGATACCATAATGGCGCCACCCCTATTCTTCACAGTCGACAAGAAGGCAGTAGGGATGAAACACTTCTTTGGGCATTCTTCAGACATAAACTCGTCCGGTCGTCTGAAATAGGGTGAAAGACGATTCATCTGATCAGATTATCTCTTGCCACTGCTGTGGGCCTTTGCGATCTCTGCACCATTGGATCTCTGCACCAGAGATTATCGAAGGGTTCGATTTTCTAAGGGCTAAAATCGAAGCTTCAAGGTTATTTCAAGCCATCCGGCTCGCCTCGTAATTACACGAACATAGCTGAAGCAGATGATTTGAGACGCCTAATTTTCTTCCTCCACTTCATTTTTATTTAGCGTGTTTCGCTTTAGGAAAAGCGCGCATTGAAGAAAGACTTCTACTGTCCGAGATGTGGCGGCGAAAATAAGTGCTATGCGATGATGACGACAGCCGTTAGGATCGCAAGTGCGGATGGTTGGCAACGGCCTTGAAGTGTTTATTTTAAAGTAACAGATTATACCAGTGAAGTAATGTAAAGTAAAAGATCTGAAGTACAGTCACCTCTCATTTACACAGGCCCTGTCTGTTAAAAAAACCTAAATTTGATTATTGTCAATAGAAAAATTACTATTACATACAAGCTTATTACTGCCGATGTGCCATTACTATCACAGACCATCACCATAATACACAGCTGTCAATGAAAAATGCACAAAAAGAGAAATGAGTGTGACAGTGATAGCAGATGATGTCAAAGTAGTATTTAGGAATTATTTTTCTTTATAATGGTATGTAATTTAACTCTTTGCAATCCAAAATATAGGAAAAATGTACATAAAAAAAACAGCTTAAATAACTAACTTTTCTTAAGCGAGTTTGAACTCAATTATATTGTTCAAATTCTCTGGTGAATATTGTTCTGTAATACTATTTTTAATTTTAACGACTTCATTTCTAATGATGTTTATTCTTTCATTATTTAAAATGTGCTCTCTGTATTTTGATTTAGTTTAATTAACTAAGTGAACTTATGCCATATATTAAATTGCTTGAAAGTACAGATAAATTAATACCGTCAATTTATAATATAATTCTGTTTATTTATAACATGGGTTATTCCTTTTTCGTGTAATCTTGAACTGTCTTCAGAGTAATCGCAATATTGAATTAACCATTGACATCGATCGCCCTTTGCATAGTCCCCACTAAATCCAGAAATCATATGATTTTGATTGTTTTCAACTTCAACTGCGTATAATTTAGTATTCCGTGCAAGGAAGTCATGTGGTGTTGTACACATCAGATTTTTTTTTATATTTCCATAAAACACCTAATTTTTGTTGCATTAACTTGATCTAATAATTAATAGAGAACATTTCTTTAGTTAAAATACTACATAATATTTATCTCTTAACAACAATTCGAGAAACTAAAAACGTAGGGAATCGCTTATTGATCACAAACCCTCGAAGAAAATAATTGAAACTGGCTTTCTAATGCAGTCTCTTAAACTAGCGAATAAAAAAAAAATCGGGACTTACCGCTGTCAGGAGAGAGTTGACCCTGATAAACGTCCTTGTAATGCACACAGCTTGCGTTCTGGCCGCCACACACGCCGCACATGTCCAGTTTCACCTCTGACCCCAGACGTTCGTCGCAGCCGACTTTCTGAGTCGCACAGAAAAGAAACAAAACAAAATGCATATAATTACAAGACCAAAAACACCTGCGCGGCCATTTTTAGCCACATCAGTGAGCGCAAATATGAAGACACAAGTCAATCAATCAATCTGTCTTAAACACTTCACAATCAAATAGAATGAAGATGCTAGAAAATACATATAATTTATTTATAAAATTATCTCAGTTTTTACTCTCGTCTGATTACCATTTTAAAGCATTTTGTTTGGAAAGTATCGACTTTTTGAAGGTTCTTCGGTTAAAATAAATAAGTACTTCAAAATCTTATTCAAGCTAACTTAAATAATTTTATTTAAGAAAAAAATTAATATATAAATAAATAAAAATCTGAAAGGCTTCAGATTTTAAATTACGTTCATAAGGGTGTTTTTTTAACGTTTTGCGTGCTGCCTTTATTTATTAAATATCATGTTCTTCGCACTTAAACCATGACATTCAGTTCAAGAGAAATATCGCAAAATAATTTTAAATTGAGCATATCTTTAGAATTTCCGATACCCAATCTCGCACACTGGAGATTTTTTTTTTTTTGGGGGGGGGGTTACAGTATTGCCATTGCTCGTTGAGTTTGTTACACAAAAATTCGTTAAAGTTTTACAAAATATGAAATTGATAATAAAACAAATTCCAAATTCGGGCTTCCAGATGCCCATATTCAGTGGAAGATTACGTTATTCAAAATTTGATGGCTCTAGGTACAGTTGTTTTATCACATTGCTAGAAACATACATACATTTATGCACATTCTTCATTATTTAATTTCTTTAAACATAACGCACGGCTCTAATATTTGGTGGCAACAATGTGACCAACAAAATGAACCGACATTTATAGTGAACCAACGCAAAATGCCAAAACGAAATTAATAGCCCTTCTGGGCTAACGCCCTTTGGTCTAAAAATTGATAAAGCAAATGCTACAAGTACTAAGTACAAGAAAGTTGCCTACTAATGTTGATGAGGCTAATAATGATGAAGTTCGAAGGCAAGATTGTATAAAAGAAATTATCCCAATAATATTGAACATTTAAAACACGAAAAGCCTGCATACAATAACAGAAATAATATTTTTGTTTCATCCGTGAAATGCGTCTCTTGTTATGAGATTAAAACACAAGAGATTGGCTTAAATAAATAACTTATTAAAAATGCCACTTTTATCTGAGTCTTCACTCTACACACAAGGAAGAGTTTAATGAAAATGATAAAATCAAAAATCGACTCGAACGTTTCTTAATTTGAGCGAAACAGAATACGAATAGTTACAGAATCCGAGAAATTTAAAATGCGGCGAGTCTTTAAAGAACAATAGAAAAATAATGGAAATTATTATTTGGATTAAAATTAATCCGTTAATTGACATATTCATTAAATCAAACATTTTCTTAAAAATAAGCTCCTTTTAAATTATAAAGGCATAACTAGGGATATTTAAAAAGAATTGTTACCAATTAGGCATTTTCTTTTCTTTATTTATGGAATATGGCAGTTATGAGCTATTTTTTATGTCATTGTACAAAGTATTCTATATTGAGTTTCCGTGTTCTATATTACTTCGGTATTTAAGCACAAACTGGCGAAACAATGATCAACAAAAGAAAAAAAAAAACCCTACAAAGTCATTACTAATATAATACCTTCCAAATAACGGAAATAATTCCAATTTAAAACGCACAAAGAGAAATAAATTTAAAACCTCCGACTATTTAACACAGTATAAGGTATTTTTCCCACTTTCCTAGCGTGCCTTCGTGGTGTAGTGGTTCTGCACGCTGGGGCGGTATTCCAGAAGTCCGTGGTTCGATTCCCGGCGAAGGCGTTGCTATTTTTCATCTTTCCTGCTACCAAAAATATACCTAATGTCTCTACAGTCGCGCTGGAACTAAAAGGGTATTGGATGAGGATTCTCCACACCCAGGATTTGGCGATTGGGTCCCCTAAAAACCCCACTCGCCCTTTTTCCCTTTAAAAAGGGGAGTATACAGGATATTTCTCCCACTTTCCTAGCGTGCCTTCGTGGTGTAGTGGTTCTGCACGCTGGGCCGGTATTCCAGAGGTCTGTGGTTCGATTCCCGGCGAAGGCGGTTGCTATTTTTCATCTTTCCTGCTAACAAAAATATACCTAATGTCTCTACAACAGTTTAAAATATAAACTTAAAAATTTGTTTGAATTTTACCCAGCTCATCAAACGAATCATAAAGCTCAATACCTGCCACTCTCATTTTAATTTAAACAATACAGTGTTCTTATATAATTTCTGTGTGGTTTTTTTGCTCCATGTCTTGCCTGTTTAGGTACAATTATAACTTATACATCGTACATATATAAGATAAAATATATGCAAATCAATTTTATACTTTAATTTAGTAATAGTCTCTTAATTTCTCATTTTTAATTCGGGTATTTCGTCTCTCTATTTTAAAATTATAATAACATTTTTGGACCGCGCCATTTCTAGATTAATCTATGCCACAAAGCTTGCGTAGTTATTTCGGAACCTTAAAGAAACTGAAACTTTTCTAACCTAAACCAGACCTTTCTCATAATAGACAGCCATATTGGATAAATGCGTACTTTGCTGCTCTCTTCCTATCACAGTAGTATTAAAAAATGTAAATAGTCTGGAAATAGGCACGATTAGAGAACCAATTAAAATTTAGCCGCAAATGTGAATTTAATTAAAAATGGAATTTAATTTGCCTCGAATGCAAAGTTTCCTGTTCATTATGGATTAGTATTCTACGCAATCAAAATTCTTGATAAAATAATGACGTAATTAGCTCGCCAGAGGTATTTATACCAGAATAGGTGCGATTCTAGAGACAAGCTATGATTGGTTAATATTAGTTTTAATTACCCTTTTCACGTACCGTAACATAACATAATAAATAAGGTCTTTCAGGTACTTAAAAATTTGAATAAATATTTGAGAAATTTTCAAAATTTGATGTGAGAAATCAAAAATGCTTAGTTTATAAGGTATTTCTTCTGCCTTCTTGGTGTGGTGGTCTGCACTATGGGCGCGTATTCCAGAGGTCCGAAGTTCGATTCTCGGCGAAGGCGGTCGCATATTTTTCATCTTACCTGCTTCCAAAAAAAAAAAAAAAAAAAAAAAAAAAAAAAAAAAAAAAAAAAACCCTAATGTCTCTACAAGTTTTACAAAAGAAATTTAAAAATCATATATAGTGATATACATTCTGAATTTTGTATACATATTTTAATTTTAAAAAATTATGAGTATTCATAGCTTTCATACACAAGATTAGAACATGCACTTATGTAAGCTAAATTTTCCATTAAATAATGATAATAGTCGAAAATTAATTTATTAAAAATATTTCTTGAAAAATTTTAAAATCCTGAAAATTTGAATGTGTTAAAACAGCTGATCATATACATATATATATACCTTGCTTGATATATATATATATATATATATATATATATATATCAAGCAAGGTAGTAATTATAATTTTGAAAAATCAATTTGGTCTAGAAAACATTTTGCGCAATATGCTGCAAAATAAGTAAAGTATAAAAATTGTAGTAAGCTCGCCTAAAAGTTACCAGGAGCTGTTGCTCCAAAAAGTTCAACACGTTTTAAAAAATTAATACATATGAAAATCAAACCATTAAACATGTAAAACATTAAAAAGACAGAATCAGATAAAAAAGTAAGCGGAAAATGGTAAATTAGCCCAACTCGACTTCCAAACTGGCTTTTCAAGGGAAATTTAATTTGTTTGAACGTCGAATCAAGCTAACCCCATTACGCGTTTCACCGAAACAGACAATTGAAACTTTTTCGCTACAAAAATTTTTTAATTTAGACAAAGTGTTTTGGAAAATTTTAATAGTCTCAATTCTCTGTTCCAATTTCCCGACGCGTCCGCACAAAATGACACATTCAGGTGTTAAAATATGTTAAACTATACCGAACATCTTAAATCTAGACTAAAATCAAAATCAAAATCAAAATCAAAATAAAAATAAAAACAAGATGTTTCGGTACCTTTCGGTACAAATTCCTGTACCTTAATCATTACAGGTGACTGGAACGACTATAACTTATTTTTATATATGCTAATTCTAATTCCAGGTCTCATATGCAAAGAATAAAGTAAATTTTAAAGTTAAATAATATGGATTAGCTCACATGTGTAAGAGAAAAATTCATTTTTCATAATTCTGCCGAAAATTCTAATGTATTTTATTTATGGATTAAATCTAAGTAGAAATCATTAGCATAACTGCAGAATTATAATAATTTCCACGAACATTAAATATAAATGAAAACAAGCAATGCATGAAAAACTTTTTATTGCGAAATATATGTATACATACATATATAAATGGACAATATGACACTAAAAATATGGCAATAAAATGACATTAAAAATCTAAAAATAAAAAAAAAATCTCCTTAAAAGTACTATAAGTTGAAAACGATACGACTTCGCCAGACAATTCAGTAAAGTACACGATTTTTATTTCTTGCTGACATCCTGCAAATTCTACCAAACAATTTGCTCACTTGTGTTATAAAAAAATCAAAGCTATAATATGAATTTCTTTTTTACCTCTGTTCTGCCTATTTGAATTAAAAATGCATGCAAAATTGAATTAAAATCGATAGTGTTGTGTAAATTCTACAAAAATAAAAATAATTTTAAGAAGTTTTTATAAAAAGTAGCATCCATGCAAATAGCTTTTATCGTGTTAGCAGTATGTAATAAATAAAACTACGTTACAACATTACACTCTAAAGCAAATGTACAGATACCTTAAAAAAAAAAAGAAAATTAAAACTACTTATTACATCCTTCAATTATTTACACATAAATCTAACCATAAGACTATAATTTATAATGCTTAAGACATTTCTATTAAGAAATAACTGTATATACGTATGTTAGCGAACTTACTTTCGGCAAAGCAGGTGCATCCATTGTTACGACTGTCCTCGC